TCAGGCATCATTTAAGGTGCAAATGAAATTAAGATAAATTTGTTTCAAAACTAAATTTCGTGAGACTCTCAGATAAAGTAGAGCAAACGTGTATTATAATTTTTTGTTGAAAGTTTTCCAAAAATTGCCTAAAACAGCCTTTTTGGCTGGTTTTTTCAAAATCTTGCCTACGGCGCAACAATTTTGGCCAAAACAGGGTCTTTGTACTGCTTTGAAAGGGCTCAGAAAACCAATTTGTCCACACCTCCCCCCCTCGAGATAATCCTAGATCCGCCCCTGCTTTATGTAGTTATTAAATCAATCCTCCAGATTTAAAATTTTTGTCTTAGGTCCAGGAAAATTATTTCGATAAGTCTTTGATTTTGCATTTGATGTAATTATTGAATTGTTCCTTTTACTGATCTGGTATTTTGCTATATTTTTGTTTATCAGAACGCACTCCCTTCTTTTTCTAGGGCTTGATGATACCGTTCAGCTCAAGTGCTTTGTGTACCCTTGAGGGCTTACTGACAAGCTTAGCTCTGTCACCTTGCAATACATTTCACAACTCAAAATGAATAAAATGTGATCTAATTGTGAACAAGTCTGTATTTTGATGTGTTTGGTTCGTTTATTTGGATCATCAGCTGTCAATTTTGTTTGATGTGTGCTTGAAGTGATTAGCGGCGTCACACAGTGGTAAGATAGGTGGCTGCCTGTGGTTTAAACACACACCTCAATCGATTAAAAAAGGGGAATAGAAAAGGGATTGTGGTGGAGTACAGCGTGTTTTACTGGAACAAGAATCAAAGATTTTCCCACTTGAGTAGATGTACGACATGACGTGATGACGCTGATGATTGAAAAAATCAATTGTTTTCCCCGAATTACACGAGGGAAAATTTAAGGACAAAATCAAATCTCTTCCATCTTTCGTACTTATGTTATAAATATCTAAAAAACAAATTATATAGGAAAAAAGAAGCACTCTGACAAAAAAAATCACATTTTGCGCAAGTTATTGATTTTTTTTTTTCAGAGAGCTTCAGGTCAGTTTTTCATTAACTATGGTTTTCCAAAAACCAAAAAATTCTATATTGTATCTAAAACTATAAGGTTTGAAAAAGATCACCTGTTCAAGTTCAAGTTCGTTCATCCAGTTTCGTACACATTACAATGTATGCTAAAATAATTGAGCTCCTTTGTCTCTCATTCTCTCATTATAAATATCTGGTGCAAGCAAGGGTGCAAATGTGTTTGTTTATGTATGTCTCTGTATGAATGTGAGTGAGTGTATATGTTTGTGTGTTGTGTGTAAGTGTGCGAGTGGGTGTGTGTGTGTGTGTGTGTGTGTGTGTGTGTGTGTGTGTGTGTGGTGTGTGTGTGTGAATGTGTGTGCGGGTAGATAAAATATTTTGTCGTCTTAATTTTATCAGAGGCATTATGCACTAAGCACAAAATTTAATTTTTGCTCCACTTACCTAATTGTTTTTATAGGAAATAGAGTGGGTTTATTTTGGTTCGTATCACGATATGGCCTCAGACGATTAGAAAATATTTATGCTATAACATTCAGGGGCACTATTGAAAAAGAAAGATCATTACGAGGCCAAACTGTGCACTGGATAGGAGCACAATTTTGTGTCTGTATGTTCTGTTCCTGGATTCCAGAGACAAGTCTTAAAATATGTTCCAAAATGTAAGTGGATTCCACAAACAGAATTTCAGTGGATTCCGCATACATATACTTGTAACGTAATTTTTGTCAGCACAATTGTTTTGTTGCGGATTCCGCAACAAGAAAATATAGCTAGTTGATCTGGATTCCGTAACTGTAAGTGGATTCCGACTTTTGTTCAATACTGAGCTTGTATATGAACAATTAAAAGCTGAACTGGAATTCTTATCTCTAGCAATGCGGAGTTTAAAAGCAAAGACGTAACCATTGTCAGCGGAATCCACGAACAAGTCTTAAAACATTGGTTACCTAAATCGGTGGATTTCATCTTTTAGTATTTTGGAAACACAACACCGAACAATTTCAATATTTGGGGTCATTGAGTTGAGAGTGTATGGAACACACAGCATATCGACAAATTAGGTTAGTATTTGGGATTGCGTCAATCCCAAATACTGATTTTGGAAGCATAACGCCGAATAAATGCAGTAATTGTGATCATTGTGTTGAGAGTGTATGGAAACACAACACACAGCATATCGCCAAATTAGGTCAGTATTTGGGATTCCATCGAACCCAACTACTTGGCAGTATTTGGGATTGATGAAATCTCAAAAACTGGAATAATGTGGAATAAATATGGAATATATCCATTATTGAAATATATCCCATGAATTGGGATTTCATTAATCCCAAACACTGATCTATTCTAGTAAACTTCTATTCAAGTGCAATCAAATCATATATTTAAAAAAAAATAATTTTAAAGGCTACTACACATATAAATATATGTAAATGGAATCCGCCAACAAAATGCGGATTCCACTTACAATTTGCAGATTCCACTTACAATTTGCGGATTCAGCAACATTTCAATTTAACGATACAAATTTTTTATCATTTGTTTGTGGATTCCAAAAATTGTTCTGGATTCCGCAAATACAGTTGAGGATTCCGCAAGTTCGCCTATTTTTCGAGCGATTTTGAGCGGTACAATGTTTTAGGTACTTGTTTGTGGAATCCAAAACAGCATAGAAGATCAAAGAAAAGTAGCAATTATGCGGATTCCGCGACAAATCTGATTTTGACCTGTTGCGGATTCCGCTTACAATGCAGAGAAAAAACAGTTTGGCCTCGTAATGATCAATGTTGTGAAACTTTCTATATTTAAAAAATTACGTGTTCCCATTCAAAAGAAAGCTTTGGAGCAGAGCAACGTAGATTTTTAGACTAGCTACTCCGACCAATGCAGCGGTTTAAAACAAAATTTTTGTCGTACGATTCAAATACTCACTTGAGAAAATCTTTAATTCTGAAAAAAAAAATTAAAAGCCTAAAATTGTGGCAAGAAATTTTGAGTGAAATGCTTGAATAAGGCATGGATGTTCTAAAATTTTTTGTGTTTTTCATCCAATTTCTCGTCAGAAAATTCTTTTAATTAAGCTTATTCTAGCCAAAACATTTTAAATTCTGATTGAATTTCTGGAGTACAATTGAAAATGTTCAAAATGGCAATCTTTAAACCCCCATAACTTTACGAATAAAGATCACAGGTGAAGAACCTTTTCAAATTTAAGCTCAAAGCAACCATACCTTTTGAATGATGGCTATTTAAAGAGTCGAAGTTTTTCTGAAAAAAACCACCCCGAGCACAAATATTCCGTTACTTTTGTTATGAAAGTCGGAATAGTCAATTGCACTTCTTTTTCAATTTATCCTGCGAAAGACACGGAATGCACGGGGTGGTTTTTTTCTTCAGACAAAATTCGACCTGTTTTGATTCTGAAATTTTTTTATCATTCAAAACGTATTTTTGTACTGAGCCTTAATTTATGAAGATATTTCACCTGTGATCATATTTCCTAGAATTATGGGGTTAAAAGGTTGCCATTTTGTCCAAATTGGGACTATTAACGCGCAAAATACTTTGCGCCATTAGCGCATGAGCGGAGATTTAAACCGTCTTAGAATTCGTTCCAAATTGGCCCAGAAAAGCTAATTTGCCATGATTGACT